GGCCAATCAGAATCAAGATTGTTGCCGGAAGTCCCCACGGAGAATAACTTTGCGGTAGAACTATTCTTTATACATCCATGGGTACAACTTCAGATACAAATGAACACATAATGAAATATGACCCCCGGTCTGATGATTGACAGGTCACAGAAGAATGGGGGCTATCTACCCTTACCCACAATTTAAAGTAAGTCACACAGACTCTCTCCTCTTTGCTCTTCTCTCTGTGTGGAGCAGCAAGCTGTCAGAACAAAGTGAAAAACAAACAATGTCATAAAATATTATTAATATGTCGGGTAGGAATAGATTTATTTTCTTCTCAGAGTGTACCAGAATGCATAGTTTATATGTTAGTATTTCAAAAAATCTCCTGGGGGAGAATCCCCCCAGACCCCCTGCAGGGGATGGGTTTTCCGCATGTGTGCCTTGTTATATAGTTCAGCTTTGATTCCATCATCTCACTTAAGCCATTAGTTTAAGAAGGTGACGATACTTTGGTTCTGTGAAGGGATATGAGGGATATATGCACTGTACTTCAATTTCATTAATATTGTATGCTGAAAAGCGTATATATTACAGCACGATTTTTTGTTGAATAGATTTGAGTGCTTCAAAATGTTGGGTCGTGATGTATTGACCAGTTGAGAACCACTGATCTAGATTCTTCCCCTCTCTCTCCTCAGGCTCTCGGTACGGGATGCCGATCGACATGTGGTCTCTGGGCTGCATCCTGTCGGAGCTGCTGACGGGTTACCCTCTGCTGCCGGGCGAGGACGAGTCGGACCAGCTGTCCTGCATCATGGAGCTGCTCGGCATGCCGGCCCAGAAGCTCCTGGACGCCTCCAAGAGGGCCAAGAACTTCGTCTCCTCCAAAGGTTTCCCGCGATACTGCACCGTCACCACGCTGCCCGACGGCACCACGGTTCTCAACGCGGGGCGATCGAGGCGAGGAAAAGTCAGAGGAACGCCGGGAAGCAAAGAGTTCAGCACGGCGTTAAAAGGATGTGACGATCCGTTGTTTCTTGACTTCCTGAAACAGTGTCTTGAGTGGGATCCGGCGCTCAGAATGACTCCGAGTCAAGCGTTGAGGCATCCGTGGCTCAGGAGAAGACTCCCCAAACCACCGACAACAATGACGGCGGGGATTTCTGATAAAACGCCCGTCGGGAAAAGCGCCATAACCTCCATTTCCAAACTCGCTGCAACAACCACTTCCTCCACCACCGTCTCCGTCTCCTCCTCCTCCAAAACCAGGACTAATTTGGCGGCGATTACCGACGCCAACGGGAACATTCAGCCGAGAACGGTGCTGCCGAAACTGGTCAGCTGAGAGTGAACGCACCCCGAGGGATTGAAATAAAGAAAGTCCAGTTTTTTGAGGAGTTTCTCTAAACGCTGGAGACTAAGCGTCGTCTGGGTTTTAGGCTGCGATGTGAAGCCTCGCTCTGGAGGGTAAACTGGGGTGCGTTCAGAAAAAAAGAAAAGACTCATTGTGAGCGAGCAGCGAAACAGGAAGTGACCACACGACAATCACTCTGTAGCTCCAAACACTCAAACACATCACAAAACATGGTGCTGACGGAGGGAACAAGGCTTTTTTAATGTTTTTAACACAGAATCTATTTAGTGATTAATCGACACCAAAAACTACTTTTTATCCTCTTAGTCTTACAAGGTCATATCTGCGGACAGTAATATTTAACGTGCTTTACTTACATAAAAGTCTGATATTTCCTTGTAAAACTAAAATAATCTTTGTCTCGTCATATCTTTATGAAATCCTCTTTTGTTACGCTTCAGTTTGGGGCATTTGTTAGTACTTTTAACTTAAAAAAATACACAATTAAATCCAAACTGAAGCATCTACCTGTTAGCTGGCTAACGATCTTAGCTAGCTGTGTTAGCGTGCTAGTTTTGTGCCTGTCAGCTGGCTAATAACCACGGGTTAGTTGTTAGACAGCTTTATATTTGTGTTTAGGTGTCACTTTAATACCTTTTTACGAACTTTTAAATCAGTCAGCTAGCTCCAGCTGGCTAACTGTTTGCCTTGTTTGGCAGTCTGGTGGCTAGCCTTAGCCTTTTGTTAGCCATAGCCTGTTAGCTCTCCACTGCCCGGCCTTACGAAGCACAGATTATTTTATGTCGTTTTATTTTCTGAAGGTTAGCAGAAAGAGAGAAGACACAGTATGCTCTGGTGAAGTATTTTGTCCCCTCTTTGATTCTCAAATCTGATTATTTAAGGAGGCAAAATGGCTGAAGGGAAGCAAATGGAGAAGGAGGAGGAAGAGCTAAGTTTTAAATAACGTTTAAAATCTAAAGGGCTCTGATACAAAAAACAACAACAACCGAAGTCTGGATGATAAAACTGTGGCTGCAGAACGAGCTGAGATTATAATTAAACAAAGTGAATTATTTCTGATCCAGGAAATGTATATTAATATATTTAACCAGTCGTGAAAGCAAGGATAAAGACAAGGCATTGTGAGTTTAAAAATACAAAATGAAGGAGGCGGGCGAAGTGTTGAGAATATAAAACTAAGATATGGTTTATATTTAACATTAAAAAAAACAAGTTTTTATAAGCAGGCAAATTATTTTATAATTCTCTGAAATTTATAAAATGTTTGTGGTAAAGTTAGCTATTTTAAAAAAGTGAATACCCGGCCTAAGTAAAACAAAAAATCTGCCATTTAAAACATTTTATTTACAAGAAAAAAATCCCACATTTCTGTTAAAATTATCTAGAAATTCAAGAAATAAATAAAATGTTAAGTCTCAAATAATGACATGTTCTCCGCCCTGGCCTTTGTAATGATTTGTAACCGCATGAACCCAAACATTGGATCAGAAAGCTAAAACAAGAGAAGATCATTCAGGATCAATTATTAGTACTTGAAATGATATAAACCGGAAAGAAAAATGAATAATTATCCAAAGAAAATCCGCTAATTAAACTTCAGAAGCAGATTTCCAGACACACAGAAATCCCCAAATATAACTATATATAAATACTTTGCATAACGTCTCAACACAGAGCCGTGTGTGTTCGAATCCAAGTGTGGAGGAAAAGTCGTTAATCGATGAAATCAAGTCTGTTTCGCCGTGTCTGAATGACGGCGGCGTGTCTTACGACGGGTCTTTGTGTAACCGGAGCCGGGAAGCAGATTTAGCCTGAAGGTAGAGAAGAGGTCAGCTGTTTATATCCTCACGTCATTAAGAGTGAAGCAGGAGATTCAGGCGAGGACACGTCCTTTTTATTTGGATAAAAAGCCTCGTGACGGAGACGGACGAGGCTCTCGTTTCAATTCAGGGTTTCAGGGAGAGGATTTAGACCCTAAACATATCCACCACACTTCAAATTAAATAATAGTGTGTAAAGGGCTCCAGTCCCATCAGTGTGTGTTGTTGTGATACAGCGTTTTATGGCGTCAAAATGTGTAGAAAGTTCACACAGATTGTGGCTTTAAATTCAATACAAAAGGATTAAAGGGGTCTTATAGACACAAATATAAGATTATAAACGTGTACAAAATGAAAAGCATCACTCAGCTGTCACACAATAATAATTTGATAAAATGACCTGCATAATCAATCAAATAATACTTCAATTAAATCAACATAG